CTTTGAAGATCAGCCACTTTCCAAATTCTCATGGATTTGAGAAAAGGCACACAGCCCTACCTCTAACCCAGGCAGATGGAACACTGTTCTCTTGATATTCTCAGGGGGATGGTAAACCCAGAGTTACCTTTTAATCATAGCCCCACCACTCATTAGCTGTGTGACCTAGAGCAAATGACAGAACCTGGCCAGCTTAGGACCCCCTTCTGTAATACTGGAGGAGGAGGAATCACAGCCACCTCATGGGGTTGATAACATGAGGAGTGCAGAGCTTCTAGCACAGGTGCTGGGACTGTGGGTACTTGACCCCGCCCCTTCCCTTCACCCCCACTGTGCTGGACACTGGATTGCATACAAAGAGGCACTTTGGAGAAATTTTTAGACTTGGGGGAAGGTAAGGGTGCATCTACTGGAGGAGGCAAAGACCAGAACCAGAAGTGGTATGGAAATGTCCCCTGAAAGTACACTTAAATGTAAACAGATGGAAGATGTTCAACATTATCTGGCTTACTAAGGAAATACAAATTAAAATGAGGTATGTATAAAAAATAATGAGCTTTTGATGTATGTTTAGTGAAATAGACATACCAGATGTTCACTGTGGTAGTGAAAAGGGTAGCAAACCTTTCAATGTATGTTTTTTTCTTTTTAATTGAGATAAATCACATACCATAAAATTCACCCTTTTATTGTGTATAGAATTACACAACCATCACCATTATCTGATTTCAAAAACACTGTACCCATTAAGCAGCTGTTTCCTATTCCCTCAGCCCTGGAAACCACCAGTCTGTTTTCTGTCTCTCTGAATTTGCCTATTCTGGATATTTCATAAAAATCACGCAATATGTCACCTCTTACATCTGGCTTCATTCACTTAGCATTGATGGGCACTTAGGCTGTTTCCACATTTTGGCTTTTGTGAATAGCGCTTTTATGAACATACATGCACAAGTATTTGAGTACCTGCCTCCCATTCTTTTGAGTTTACACATAGAAATCTCTGGGCCATATGGTAATTCTACATCTCCTTCATTTTTGAAGCAGGTTTCTTTTGCTGGAAACATAAGACTTGGTTGACTTTTTTTTTTTTCTTAACTTCCAGCATTTTGAATATGGCATCTGCATTACCTTCTAAGCTGCCATGATTTCTTTTTTTTTCTTTTCTTTTTTTAACTTGTTCATTTATTCATTTATTTAATAAATACTTATCAAGTGTCTGCTCTATGATAGATTTTGGGGGGTGTTGTTATTGTTGTTTAGGTATTTGGGATTGGCTGCCCTGGTTTCTGATGAGAGAACAGCTGTTAATCTTATTGAGGATGCCTTGTACTGAATGAGCCACTTCTCTCTGGTTGCTTTCTCCTTGTCATTGGCTTTGACAGCTTGATTATGGTGTGTCTAGATCACATCTCTGAGTTTTTCCCACTTGGAATTTGCTGAGCCTTGTAGATGTCCTTCAAAAACTTCCAAAGTTTTTGAAGTTTATTCAGATCTTTCTGCCCCATCTCTGTCCTTTGTTTTTGAAATTCTCAATATGCATATGTTGATGTACTTGATGATGTCTCCTGTATCATTGAGGCCATGTTCATTTCTCTTCTCTCTTTTTTCCTAGTTTTCCTCAGATTGCATAACCTCTATTGACCTATTCTCAAGTTTGTTGATTCTTCTGCCTGCTCAAATTATTCCATTCCAGAATTTCTATTTGGTTCTTTTTTGTAATTTCTAACTCTTTTTCGATATTTCCTATTTGGTGACTCATTATTTTCATTCTTTCCTTTAGCTCTTTAGACATGGTTTCCTTTGTTTCTTGAATATATTTAAAATAGCTGATTTTCAGTTTTTGTCCAGTAGGGCTTTCTCATGAACAATTTTTATTAACTCCTTTTTTTCTTTGTGGATGGACCATACTTTTGTTCCTTTGTTGTATTGTTATTTTTTTGTTGAACACTGGACATATAGAATAATATAATGTGGCAGTTCTGGATGTCAGATTCTCTTCACCCACACTTTCAGAGTTTGTTCCTATTATTTTGTTAGTGACTTTTGTGAAGTAATTCTGTACAGTCATGTGTGACCACTGAAGTCTCTGCTCAGTTAGCTTACTGGTCAGCTAGTGATTAGACAGAGATTTTCATTAAGCCTAGAATCAGTAAGTCTCCCAGTGTTTGCCAAGGATTAAAAAAAAATTTTTTTAATATTTATTTATTTGTGTGTGTGTGAGAGAGAGATAGAGTGCAAGTGGGGGGAGGGGCAGAGAGAAGGAGACACAGAACCCAAAGCAGGCTCCAGGCTCTGAGCTGTCAGCACAGAGCCCAATGTGGGGCTTGAACCCACTGACTGAAAGATCATGACCTTAGCAGAAGTCGGACGCTTAACTGACTGAGCCACTCAGGGGCCCCTCCCAAGGATTTCTATTGGGTCATGCTTTCAGTGCTCAGGCAGGCATTTAACAACTCTGCCTTGGCCTTCACTTCCTGCTTGCATAGAATCTTATGATCAGCCAAAGGTGAGAGTTTAGGGCCTTCTCATATCTTTCCTGACAGTGCCCAGGCATGCCCATAGCTTTTTGCCGTCAAATAGCCTTATAGACTACCAGGAAATCTCCAAACCTCCCATGGGAGCTCCCAGCTTTTCCTTCTATGACCAGTTTGTCCAAACTGTTATCCTCTGCCTCAAGCAGCTGCCTCTAATTGTTTTCAACAAATGCCCTCGAGGAAAATGCTGTTCACACTGGCAAACTCCAAAGCAGGTCAAATAAAGATAGCCTTGTAAAAATATAGTCTTCCAGGGAGCTACCAGATTGGAAAAATAATGATACTTCTCTGGGAAAGGGGCTTTGATGGAACTCAAACCCACTCTGCAACCTGCTGTCAGGCTGCTAGCTTCCATTCTGATTGCAGATGTTGGCTATTAGGGCTAGTGCGAAGTTGGGGAGGGGTGGATGGGAATAAAGCAAGTTAAAATGCCACAAAGCTCTTTTTAAAAAAAATGTTTATTTATTTATTTTGACAGAGAGAGCACGTGCAAGTGGGGAAGGGGCAGAGAGAGAGAGGGAGAGAGAATACCAAGCAGGTTCCATGCTGTCAGCACACAGCCTGACCTGGGGCTTGATCCCATGAACTGTGAGATCATGACCTGAATCGAAACCAAGAGTTGGAC